TGGGTCCTGCTGAATAATGAACTACCTCTTCTGCCATCTAGTGGCCAATTTTTATAGCTGTCATGCAAAATGGATTGTCTTTTAAGTACAAAGAACAGTAGATCAATGAGTTTTTAGCCAAGTTCAAAGGGTGAAGTCTTCCTTTCATTTGAAATAAAATTGGACCGTGATTAATACTGTGATTTAAAAAAATCATCATAAAACTATCATAAAAGTAGTTTATACCAGGGTTTTTCTTGGACTGTATATATTGTACTGTACTGTGTGTGTGTGTGTGTGTATGTGTATGTGTGTGTGTGTGTGTGTATATAATGTTTTCTGTTGCTCTTCAGATTTGTACCTAAAATTGTATTTAAAAGTACTTTTATGGTGGCTAGAAAAATACAGAGGCAATAATAGACACTGGATATTCTTTAGTCATCAAGAAGTTTTAAAACCCCTGGTTTATACAACTTGTACACTATATTCCAAATCTTCTAAAGCTGTATGGTAGATTTGTGTGAGGAAAAGACAAAAATTTCCCTTTTTCCTTCTCAATTAGAGCCTTCAAATCTCATTTACAAAAAAATGATATTAGATCACAACAGGTTTGACTATACTAATGCCAAATGCCATTGGTTCTGGCATGTCATGTGATCAACTGACATAGAAAACAGAGCCAAAAATTAGATTAGAGAGCTACAGGGAAGACTATCAGTGAAAAACGACATACATTTGAAATATTCTGAAACCATAAGATACATTTATGTGAAGTATAGAGCAACATTTATTACATAGTTACTTTTAAGATTTATTTATTTATTTTTGCAGCTCAACAGTATAAATCACCATCCTCTTTCCTTGTATGAATTTCCCTTGAATTTGCCTAATGTTGCTCCTTGTGATTATTTGCTTGTGTTTGAATTGCTTTGGATGAACATGTCTGCTTATAGAACAAATTCACATAGAATATTGCATTTAATGAGTATGTTTGGCCTTGACGCAGATGATGGCGAACAGGGCGGAGAGAGCTCATCCTCGTCCGACCCACCTAAGGAAACCACAGAGGGGGCAAAGACAGAGGGCTCATAACTCGACACCAACGCCGTAGTGATCTGACCTCATGAGAGACTCACACATGACCTGCCTCTACTCTTGTCCCATTGACCAAACAACTGTTACACTCTGTGCTATGCAACATCAAGACCACCTATGATTAGCATTCGGATGTGGGCCAGTGGAAAACAGCTCATTCCTTTTATAGGAATTCATCTGAAATTGTGTTTTTCAAATATCAACGTTTGTTCATTTCATACCTCGATGACTTTGTCAAATTTGACTTTTTCCCCCAAAGACTCACTGTCATGATTTTCCTAACGACCGGCTGTTTTGTGTGTCTTTTGAAAACAGATGTGACCTGCTTTCTCATTTTAAAAAGCGACATTTTGTTTAATTTTAAGACTTTCCATAATAGCATTCTTCTCTGAATGTTGACATTTAGTGGCAAAAATGTATCTTTTTGCACAAAAAAGTAAATACATTCCATTTGGTGATGTAAGTAAAGTTTTTTATCTTACGATATTTGTCTGTCCTTGTACAACATCACATCATTTGTGTTTTGTATTGTAAAGATATGCATTGTTAATATTCGACCCAGAAGATAAGAAAGAGTGCTGAATAACATGAAATATGATATTTTCTTCTTGTAAATACAGAATTGTACATTATATTTGCTAGTTTTGTTTAAAAGGCTTTTGTTTTGTGCGTAACTTCTGTCAGTGCTGCCCTGCGTGAGCTCAAATTGGATTGTTAGCTGATGTATTGCTGCAAACATCAGTGGTCATGTCATTCGGACATCATCTTAAGTGCTTGTCTCAGATATTTCTTTGCTGTTGTTGATGGCAATGAAAAAATATGATTGTGGAGACTTGTTGTTCTTCCTCTCTTTCATCTTTTCCTCATGCTTCAATCAGAGAATTACATTTTATTTTAGTTTAGTTTAGTTTTTTACCTGGCCATTAATCTTGTCATTTTGTCTGTGGTTATAGCTACATATAAAATGCCATTATGCTATGTTTAAATTACAATAAATCCTGTGCTTAGTTTTGGTAGTTTTAATTTTTGGACTGTGGACCAGTGGTGGTAATTTATGTAACCAGCAGAGGACACCAAAGGTATCTTTTATAATATGAGGGTACAAAAAATGTCACCGTCTTGTAGTAGATTAATTTGTAATATATGTATATGTATATATATATATATATATATATGTGTGTGTGTGTGTGTGTGTGTGTGTGTGTGTGTG